AAAGAAGCAACGTGACGCGGTTACCCGAGCCTCGTGAGCTGCCGCTATGTGGCACAATTTCGCTATTCGAACTTATTATTATCATTATCATTATTATTATTATTATTGTTATTATTATTATTATTAACAGGGTAGGATTAATTTCTCCGATTTTTCCCGATCAAATTCAGATTCTCCTCCTCCCGTCGTCGAAACGCGATTGTCTCCTTCAAGTAACTGACCTACGAACGAATCGTAATTGAATTCTCAACCGCGGCGCGGAGCCACGGATTGGGCCACGTGTCGGCCATTTGCAGCGGCTTCCCACGACGCGTCGATCGCGTCGTTCGTTTTAACGGCCCTCCTCCCCCCTCCACGAAACGGATAACCGATAACGGACTGTCAGGAGCGATCCTTGGCCGGATAACAGGGGTCCGCTCCGCTTCCTCGTCCATTTACGACACACAATGTGAAAAAGATACGCCTTGTCTAATTCAGGTCGTAATGTCAGGATCGTTAACGAACGGCCATAGATAAACCGCCTCCCTCCCATTCGCCCACCGCCTTCCATTCTTGGCCCCTTCTTGGCCTCTCTCTTTCTCTCTCTCTCTCTCTCTCTCTGTCTATCTGTCTGTCTATCTCTATCTTTCACCTTGGTCGAGAGGGTGGAAAAATCCGCTCGCAACGGATAGTCACGAGGAAATAACTTGGCCGTAATTAAACCATTGACGAGGTTCGAGGAGGTACCGTAAGGGTCAATCCGCGGATCATACCGATCGGTCCAAACGGACACGCAGCCTCCCAGCGATTTAACCGCGCGACCACGCTCGTCCCTGGAATTTGTTCGAGCGACAGTGAGATAAACTGTCGGTGCGCAGAGAGATACACGAACGGTTGTTCCTCGGTATTTACAGCTTTTCCCGCGATGCGATCGATTCGTGCAATTTTTTTGCAATTTGCAATTCGAATATTTTCCAGGAACTGGGAAAAAAGATAAATGGATTTTGGATCGAGAAGTAGATTAGTTTCATCGATTCTTTCACGACCAAATGTGTCCAATAGGGAGTCAGATCACAGTAAGAAAATTTATATACGGAATAGTATGTATATATATATATATATCGATGTCGAGGTGAAAGGTGGCTGGTAGAACGAATCCTTTTCCAATTTTCCAAGTTTCCAAACGGAAGAAAGAAATTTCTTGGAAGATTCTCGCTTTCGGGACGAGTTTCTTTGGATGGAAAACGAGAAAGAGGAGGGAAAGTTCCCTCGATCGACCGCCCGTTTCGAGGCAAGCGGACAGGGGTCTCTCGCTTTGGTCTTCTCGCGCGTGCCGCGCGGAAGTGGCGAGACGCTTGAGATTTAACGACCGGAATTTGTCTGGCCGGGCAGGTACACGATACGCCGGACTGGGAAGGCAATCAGGAAGCGAGGAAAGTCGAAGGAGACTAACGAGTCGTACTAGGAATGGATAAATAGGCAGTCGTCCCCGGGGACTCTTTTCTTCTTTCCGCGCGCCGCGTATACCCTCGCCGACACGTTCACCTCGCCTGTTCCGAGTATCGCTCGGTATAATTGCTCGTAAATGCACCAACCTTCCTCTCGTGAAAGCTTGCTTGCTGCCTGTTTCAAAATTCGACCTATACACGCAAGAAATAAATATTTGAATGGAGTTTATAATGGGGAAATTTAAATGATAATATTCATCGTTATATTATGATTATTGGAATTTTTATTAGATCGTGAAATTGCAGTTTCTCGAAAGGAAATTTTCGAAATATATTGTCTTTATCGAAAGCTCTGATGATCCTATTCCATTTTTGCGATTATAATTTCTTGAATATTTTATATGTTAAATACGACCGTTAACGAAACGAGTGATAATCTTGCGAGTTGTGAAGCATGCATATGCATCGAGCGTTGACACGGAAGAATAGAATCCATGTCTAATATCGGCTAATGCGATTTGTTTCTTAATCAATTTCGTGACAATGGGATGCTGGCTTTTACGGTATCTCCTCGTTTCAGAGAAGAACAATGAATTATTCCATTTACAGACCATCGTATGGAAATTTTTGTCGGCCGTAACGATTTTCATCCAATCATTGTATTATCATCGTATAATATTCATTTCTCGTCACAGGTTATAATTCCATTCAAAAATGGACTTCTACCGTTTCGAGCTTTATGTTCGACGAGCAATAAAACTCTCAACTTTTCCAATTTTTTCGCTTTGCACCCATTCTAAATCTGTCATTCGATAACTCTGCTTCCACTTTGTCTTTATCCTTGTTTAATATTACCTCGAGTCTCATTTTCGAGATTCTCATTTCCTGAATTTTTAAAATTCCACCACAACGATCCTCCCATCTCAAGAATAGAATCTTCTTCGAAAGCTGACCTGATATTTCGTCCCAGCTTAAACTCGTACAGGAATAATATTCCAATATTGCTTCTCAATACAAAAAAAGAACTTATCGCACAAAGAGGACAATCTTAAACAAAATATAAATTGCAAAATTGTATTCCAATATTGGTTCGCTTCTCAATAAGAAAAAAGAACTATCGCACAAAGAGGACAATCTTGAACAAAATATAAGTTGCAAAATTGGCAATTTAACAATATAATTTTTGTTATCTATCGATCGATCTTTCGAAGAGAAGAGAATTTCATATCGAACAATACAAAATCGAGACTTGTTTCCTAAAAAATCATTCCACATATAAAAAATGATCGAGCGAATTTCGATATCTCGAATATCGTAAATTCCTTTTGAAAAAACTATCCTTGCCAATTATCAGAAGCAAACAGTGCGTCTGTTAGTGAGTCTGGTGGTAGTTTCGCGACAAGAAGCGGGTAAACTTCCTCCCAGGCTAGGAAGGAAGACTGTTCGCATCGGTATCGGGCATAAATTAACGCCGAAGGAAAGAGGAGGAGAAGGGAAGCCGGGTGCCGAAGGAGGAGGAGGAGGAGGAGGAGGAGGCACGTTGACCGGTCAACGCACAATCGGCGTACCGGTTGTGTACCGTGCCTTTTTCGGCGAACTGTGAACGTAGCTTGAGGAGTGTGGCGGCATTCCCCCTCGCCGTCTTTGGCCGGTTCGTCCGGGGTCATCGACGAGAGGTCACGTCGCTCGCATGGCATCGGTGACTTTTTCATTTTTCTCCTCCCACTCTCTCTCTCTCTCTCCCCCCTCTCCTCAATTCTTCTTCTTCTTCTTCTTCTTCTTGTTCTTCTTCTTCTTGCTCTTCCTCCTCTCTCTTATTCTCGATAGCCAGGGGCCTGGCCGCTTGTCCCTTCTTCGCTCGCTCGCTCGCTCGCTCGCTCGCTTCGTTCTCGAAGGAGTGGTTGGTTCGCATAGGCGCAGCGTCTCTTTTTCGACCCTTCTTCTTCGGAGGAAGAGAAGGAAAGGTTCGGTTCCAATTTCTTTTCCTTTTGATTCGATAAAGAAATAAAGGAGGGAGAAGAGATCAACTTTTTTCAACTTCGGTTTCAATTTCTTTCCTTTTTGACTTTATAAAGGGAGGGAGGAAAGGAGGGAGAAGGGAAGAATTGTTGGAAGAGGAGAAATCAGATCGGTTCCAACTTCTTTTCCTTTTGACTCGATAAAGAAATAAAGGAGGGAGAAGAGATCAA